TTTCAGCTAAAATATTTTCTCATGGAATCCGTTGCGTTTGTTTTGACATCATTTACCTTGTTTTTAAATCTTGCTTAGAGTTAGGAGTAATTTTTGACGATCACCTTCCAGCAATTCATAAATTGCGTTATGATTCTTTTAAGTAGTTTCGTGAAATCTTATACGTGATGACTAGATTTATTGTTGTCTCCAAATATCACAAATCCCACAAAATTACCATAATATAGAGTTGAATAAATAAATCGTTCTTATGAACATTTTAACATATAGTGAGGAGTATGATATAATATTATACATATGTATATGATTTTGTTTTTATTATTCGTAGAATGTGACAAACTGCAGTTATACTTCATAGCTTAAGAAGCAGAATGCAGGAGTTATTCAACAACGCGTCAATAGAGAATTGCGTTTATTAATCTAATAAGATGAATGAATGTAGGACTATGTGTAATTTATCATTACTACCGCGGTTGTAAATGAAATTAGATTTAAGCCACGCATTACATTAAATATACCATTATAGTTATATGATTATTCTCACCATTATTATTATAGAAAGAGGTTTACGCTTAAAAACATAAAATAATATTGTGTTTACCTTGCATATTGATTAAAATATAAGCACCGTGTGTTGATTTTTGGAGATTAATGTGTAAGTCTGTTACTCATTTAAAAATATTAAATACATTGTTTAATTATTTCGAAAAATGCATATAAATAATTGTTTCATCTAAGAAACTGTATTTTTATGAGTTTATAAAACAAATTATAATGCCAAATATATTAAATTTGTTGAATGAAAATTGTTTTTTTTGACGAAAATATGAAATAAATTATTAAATTTTGAAATGATAGATGAATAAAGTTAATTTCATAATGCCTGTGTATGCTATGGAAGTATTAAATTATTAAAATAATCTTTAGTGTTTGGAAGTGTATGGAATTCAACTGCAATTTAATACATTTTTAATTAATAATTATTTTATTCTAGAAATAATTACATTTTTGAATTATTTATAGACTAATTTATGTGAGTATATGATATGAAAATGTTTTGAACAAACTAACATAATCATCGAGTTATTCAATATATGTATTTCATTATATCATAAGTGTGATACACAATAACTTAATTTTAGAAATTTGACTAAAAAAATAAGTTATAATATATATATATATATAGGTTTTAATTGGAAAACACTAAAAATACTATGTTAAAAGTTATAACATAAAATAAATATTAAACTATTAATTTATGTGTTTGATACGTAAAAATAAACTTCATATCATTTTCTAAACCCTGTGTTCTTATAAAGTGTTAGTAATAATATCAGTTTATTAGATAGAAAAATAAATAAATTAAAATATTTAATACCATTAAATATACATATGTATTATCTAAAACAATGAATTATTATTCTATTTTTTTTTTAATTTATAAGATATGTAACTTAAGTTATTATATTTATTAGATAAATAAAATTATTATATTATCACAAGATTTATTTAAAATTCAAATTATAACAAAACATTCAAAAAAAGCTTTGGTATATTATGAAAAAAATCATTTTTACTTTTTAAAATCTCACATTTAAGTAATATAAATAATTCATACATAAGTATTTTAAAATAATATTACTAATGTATTTATTTTTTATTACTAATATGTACCTATATGTTAATACTCTACAAAGTTATGGAAATTACAATTCAAAAATGAGGATACGCTATGAATTGTAAATTTATAAAATTAAGGTTACCCGTTGAAAAAAAATATGGAAATTTACATATTATTGTATTTGACAAATATTGTTCACAAAAACTAATTTTGTTTTGACAATTGTATTTTGATTTTAGAAATTTAATCATTTTTTTATCATGCATTAATTATTATCTTAGTTAGGTATGTAAAATAATTATTTAAACATTTGAAAAACTTTCAAGGCTATAAAAAATATTTAGTTGAAAGAAAATATTAGATATATTTTTTTAATAATATAAAATTCATGAATATCCTGTATTTTTATTGTTATATGAAAGTTATTTAGTATTTAAATTTACTTTTTACAATTGAAGTTTATTCTGCCTATAATATATTTTGAAAAATGAATGTGTATGACATATTTTTAAATAATTTTTTAGTTTTATGTGGTAAATAAAAATGTTATTACTCTTAAAACTTTTAACTTAAACTGAATATTAAAAGTTATATTAATGTTTAGTTGTTTAAGATAAATGTAAAATAGACGTTAAAAACATTTATTAAAAAAGTATCATCGAATAAAAATAAATATCTTATGATAGCATACATTTTTATATTTTTTCAATATTTATAAATTAGATAAAGAACAACAATAAATAAAACAAACACACAATCATGCTTGAAATTTAAGACTTCATAAAAAAAATTAAAAACCATATAATAATAATAATAAACTAACTGAAAATCAGTCACATCTGTCTTACATATAAGGAGATCTCACGAAAAATCAACCACAAACAAAATGTACTTCGTGTTGAATGCGATGACACAAAATCAAATGGAATTCTCTTCTAAAAAATATATATTTAATACATATAGTTGTTTTTCAATTATTAAGCACGGTTTATTTAAATCTTTAAGTTGATATTATTTATTCTACCTTATGTCTTTTAAATAATAAGCTTTAATAAAGTATGAACAAATTTAATGCTCTAGTTATTAAAACTTAATAATAATAATAATAATAATAATAATAAAGGGTATCAAATAACATATATTATTATTTTTTATTTACAATTTCAAGTTTTCAATTATTAAGTCATTGGTCGTTTGAACAAAATCTTGTGTTTTTTTTATTATATCAATACATTTACAATAATTGTTTTTTAATATCTAACATAGTATATATTGTATATGCCTGTCTAGAGATAGATATTATTATAATAATACGCAAATTAAATATACTATATATGGTTATATGCCTTTTAGACCTTTTAATATAATAATCGATTATATAATGTAGTTTTTCACATTTTAATATTTTATTAATGATTATTTTTGTGAGCTATTAATTATTCTAAATATTATTACCTGTAAAAATATTTAATACAATTTATAATACATTTAAAACATTACTATAATAACTTGATTAGTTATAACCAATGGAAATTTAATGTAAAATTAACGAATTCAAAGAGGATACGTTCTTTTATATTCACACACTACAAACATGTTTTAACTTGACGTGATAATATATAGTATATAATATTATTATATTTTATACTGATATTTTACCGTACTTAATATTTGTATTGAATTAAAAATAATTGAACTAAGTTTTTATAATAATCACGCTATCAAATAAAATATTATAAACTAATAGGTAGATATTAATAAAAATTTATTTATTTTTTTATGATTTGGTTCACTAGTATTCTCTAGTATTAGTAATACAAATTATCTTTAAAATAAAAAAAAAATGTCTTACTTAATTATTATAATATTATTTTTATCACGAATTGTTTTTATCACGACGCATCTGCATTTGATCTTTCTGAAATATAATTCAGTAAATAATGAGTTAATTAATAACAATAAATATGGGTTGAAAAACTTAAGTGAAAGTTTAATAATACGATAAAATTAAATGTAGCAGGTGTTAAATACAAAAAAAAATCCATTAAATTTGATTTAAGTGTAATAATAATATAGGTACTCACGCGAATACGTAATTTGAAATTATATAATACATGAAATACAAAAGTATTAAAAAATAATAATTAAAAACATCGAAGATAAACAAATAGATATATTCTAGTTCATAAATTGAATACAGATTAGAAAAAGTGTTTAATTGAGATTATATAAAGAATAGAAAAAAAAAAAAGTGATTTAGATTAAATATAGCTTATTAATAATTCAATAATCATCAAATTCATTTAATTTCTAAAACCATTTTGTATTTAAATTTATCCGTTTAATAATAAGGTATGATTTATAATAAAAAGGATAATGTTTGAATTTTAGTGACATTTCTTTTAGATATGAAACGAATAAATCATGTTTTTTTTTTTACTGTTACTATTATTTAGAGATAAGAAAAGTATTCTGAAAATTCTAAGTATCTATATTTATGAAGATTGTAAATTGAGCCAATACTCATTCATTGAGTTTTTTTCAAAAAATTCACAAGGCATATATGTAGTTCAATATCTACTTGGTATCTGTGTGCGTCACTTTGTCTAGCATGTAAGTTTATTTTAAAATATTATCAGAAGACTATAATAATCTTATAACTATGATACTTAAATCACTAATATTGATAGTATTTTGCGTGCATTTATTTTATAAATTTATGTATAATGATAATAAAAAAATTATACTTAGAATCATTAAATGAAAGTATATATATTTGAATATTTGATATTTACGCACTCTTAAAAAAAGTATATAAAACGTTAAAATAATGAATTGTTATAACGAATTTAAACTGATTATTATAATATCATAATAAACCATAGAGTAATATAATACTAGTGGTATCATTATAGTATTGTATTAATAATAAACCCATGCAAATCTACTTATCAAAAAGGAACAGTCTCCTTGATTTTTTTCTACCGCACTACCGCTATTCTGTGTTTACTATTCTTCATTTTAATTTTTGATAAACTCGACAAATGTCTATGTCTACTTTAGCGTCGTAAGATTTTTTATGAATTTAATGTTGCTTATAATATATTATTAATATACAATAATTATATATAGTTATACACATTGTAGTCAATATCATTTAGTATTATTATTTAAATAAATTTATGCAGGAATTTAATTTGGACGATAAAATATAAAAATATGTTTGACGTTTCATGATTTTTTTTAGTCCGAAAATATCCACGACCGACTGTCAACGTGTCGGTGTGGGCGGCACCGGCTACAGGACTGGCACGCAGGACCGCTACACTTTTTGGTCGTCCCTGGTGCCAACCGACTCGGTATATAAGTGCGAGCGTAACGGCGATCGTGCGGACCTCCACCGGTATTATAATATTGTATCATTTCACTGCTGCCGATCGCGACGATCATCGCACGACTACGTCTAAGTCTTTCGTGTTAACAGTAAGTCAGGTAAGAACCATTTTATGTTTTTTTTTTTTTTGTCCCGTGGCGTAATTATTTTCATTTTGGTATTTTAATTTTAAAAATATTTATGTATAAATGTTTACGCCATATCTGAGATGGTTATGTAATTATTCAAAGACATGTGATTGATTCCATTTTAGTACTCTCTTATCAACAAAATGCATGCACACTACTTTTTTTATGGTTGTCAGAACTAGATATTTATTAAGGAGTAAAAATGTAGTCAATTTTTAGTTAAGTGATGCGGTAGTTATACAATAGGACGTATGGAGCAATAAAATTAAAATTAAACTCATTTAAATAATTAAAGAAAAATATATTTAAAAACACTAAAAAAGGTATAAATATAAAAGTTAAATAAAAATCAATTTTAACTAAATATGTGTATATTTTCCAATTATTTGAATTAGCATTATTGTGATGTTTTTGAATTTTTAAAGAATGCAGCTGTTAACTTAAATTATAACTAACATAACTAAAATTAAATATTGTTATGCGATTATTGTGTTATTTAAAAATAAATATTTTAATTATTTTTGTTAAATTAATATAGTTAAAGTTTTGTAATATAATAATTGTTATTTCTATTCATGAAATTATCTATAAACTTAATTTATTTTGAAAACCATTGTTTTGTGTTAGCTGTAAATAAATCAAAATGTTGATTGATAAAAATTATTTGGTAAATTGTTTATCAATGTAATATACTTTTTTAATATTATTTTTATGTATAATATATAAACAGTATTAATTACACATACACACACACAAAAAAAAAAAAAACCGGTTTTTAATATAAATGCAATACATTTATACAACACAACTAAGTTTTAATTAAATTATAAAAAATCAGAAAAGTGTCTACAAATTACAAAATTTAATTCGAAAAAATACATTAATGATAAGTACTTTTAAAACATTTGCTTAAATTATTTAAAAAAAAAAATTGATTAAAAAACTTTATTCTTAGCTTTAACATACTTATTAAATTTTATTTAATCAGATTCTATTAAAATAAATTAAGTGTAGCTCAAACTAATAAATTGAACTTCTGATAAAAGAAAACCGAACTGAGTACATATATTTTCGTAAAAAATAATTGAATATATTATATTTTCATAAAACTTCAATTATAAATTAAAATACAGAGAGTTTACAGTTAGTTACCTTTAAAATATTTAGGTTACAGTTTTACAATTTTTTTTAATATTAGTAACTAGGAAATATGCATAGAATAACTCTAACTATATAAATTTTAATTTATGAAAACTATTTCATTGTGCTATTTTTAAACGGTTAATACATTATATATACAATTTGCACCATTTATAAAATTGAATAAATAATATAAGACGTACTTTAAATTATAAGTATGATGTATCTACAATGTATATTGTTTTCGTTAACGCTGCAGCAAACAAATACACTGCAAGTTCAAAATATATTATACAACGTTTCGTATTTATTAAGTTATTTTATGCTTAATTTATTTATGGCAGGTAAATCAAGCTTATCAGTTATTGTAATGCTTCCATTTTGTGTTAAAAATAGTGAAATATTTGTCATTTAATTACTATCAAAAAATACACTAACAAATAGTAAATATAAAATAAAAAAAATCCAATACAACTATTAAAATATCTAATAAGTACGTGATATTATCTATGTTTATCAACAAAGGATTTCATGAAGTTAACTTATGGTAACCTGATACTTATAATTTTAATAGTAAAAGTGGTAGAATTTCTCTAAAAATAAATCATTTTAAGAATTTAAAATTTATTAATTTATTTCTTATTTATTTTGTGCGGATTGAAATTCTACTTAAAAATAAAATTTAACTAATATATCATATTGAATAAATTAATAATAACTAAGTTTATTAATATAGATACTTACATATTATTATAACATTAACTAAGTTTGTAAGATTGTAATTAATTATATTATTGTGATTTATTTGGTAAATATTTGTTTTAATGAAAATCATTATTTTTAATTCTATATTTACATATAAATATTTAAATGAAAATTTCAATAGATATAATGTCATGACAAATATTAACTATATTAATTAATAGTAGTTAATTTTATAATAATATAGATTTCAAGGTATTGGAATATTATAAAAAAAAAAAATTCTCCTGGTATTAAATATATTCTATCTCCTAAACTTTGAATTATTATAAAGTTATAAATAATAAATTCTTAGTTATATCAGGTAGTACTTAAACGATATTTTTTTAATTTAATTAAAAATTAGGTGTTTTGTTGAAAATATCAAAAAAAAAAAAAAATAAATAAATAAAATAACAATAAAAACATGTGAAATAAATAATGAAAAACAGTAAAGTTTTTAACATAAATATAATAACTTCAAATAATTACTAAGCTTTATATATATTATTTGTTTATATAAAACGTATCAAGAAATTTAATGGTATAGCTTAATACTATGATATATTTCTATTTTTTGAGTAGAAAAAGTTTTGATGAAAGAACCAAGATATAGCCAGTATTCACTTTTTTAAATCTTGATACTTATGTCTTAAGTTTTTTTAAATTTATTTAGTTTTTTTTTCCATTAACCATATAATTACAATGCAATTGTATATGTTAATTGATGAAAAATTAATTTTCAGTTTGTTTTTTTATATATTTACTGACTCTGAAAAGTATGTCTTACTGTAGAGCTATAATGCCTGTTACTAATTTGTACTTTATGACATGCAAACATCATATACTGATTATTTTAACAGAAACTTTTTCTGATTTAATAATTCCTGTTAAAACTTCAAAGTATTTTCTGATAACGTAATTTTCATACCTAAATTGTGATCAAATAACAGTTATAATCACATACTTGTAATAAAAAGTGATCTTAATTAACTAAGGATATTCTATTTTGAATATTTTTTTTCCCAATACTATAATAAAATAGATTTTTATGTAGAATGCTGTTTTACTTATTGTTTTTATAACTTATTCGTATATTAAAATATACATATATCATATACCTATTTATAGATATTTATTGACTATGTTCTAAATATTTTATACTATATCCATGTCGTTTCATAAATAAAAACGTTAACTTTTTATACATCGTTCAATTAGGTAGGTCGGTATGTCTCGGAAAACCATGCAACGGCGATGTTCGACACGTTACAATATTTTTACAGTCAGTCAAACGAGAACAGGATACGACTCTATAGGGGTCTCATCTATCACCGTTAAGGCATTTTTTTTTTAAAGTCGTTCTGGAACTGCTTTTTTGTTCATCTAGCGGTATTGTAGATACCTCTCATTATCTATATACTATCACGCCATGATTGCTGTGGTCCCATGTAATACGTATTATTATTAATTTTTCTAGACGTAATGCAATTTATTGTAAAACTATAGACCACGAAGGGTTAAAGCGATTATTGATTACTACAGTATCCATTAAATAACGTTTTCGGTGTTGTATCACAATAAATTATATCTGTATAGTTCATGTAATTTTTATTTACTTAAAACTCTGATGGATATATAATAGATAATATATAGATACATGTTTTTAAATTATTGAAGAAACCAATAATATTTACTCTTACTGCACGTACATATACAAAAATGTTAGAGACATATTTTATTTATGATAAAAACTTAAAAGTTAAGATTAATTTTGAATTCAAAAATTAATTTTTAATTGAGCTCATACTAAAAATAGTCAAAAGTTATAATAATATAGTAAAAAATAACTATACGAGTGATAGCTTTTTATTTTGCTTTTTTTTCGGTTACTTCAAAATTAACTCAACAAATGACCTCTTAAAACACTATTTTTATTAGTAACCAATAATTCATAGGTACGTACTACATTATTTGTTTTGATTTTGTTTGTAGCCTTGTTTTCAACGAAACAACGCATAATTTGTCGAGTAATATTTATTCAATCTATTTTGTGGAATATATAAAATTACTTTCAAAATTTAAGTGTATTCTCCAGGGTAGTAACTAGTAACTTACTATATATGCCTATAGGTGTATTTTATTCCAAAAATATTTCACTAATAGACATATATACATTTTATGTATACACTATACATACATAGCGCATTAACATATTATTAATATACGTTTACTAGTCGTAAATAAATGCATATAATGGTAACTTTTGGGTTGACAAAACATCTGTCGTCAGCCGCGTAGATATAATCGGTTATCGTAACACTTGTCTACCACTCTATCAAATTTGAACCGGGTCACAGTTTGTCAAGATTCATCGAATTTCTGCTCTGTATAAATACATTTTTCGTTTTTGGAACAATTGATGTCGTAAAATATAGAATGAATATATGTTTCCACACTAAACATAAGAGTTAATAATAGTTAACTCGTAAGTTCCTTATTTGCTTTGGTGTTGTATGAAAAATAGCTTCTATCTTATTAAAATAAAATTGAAATAAATCTAAGAAAATGAATTATTTATACTATTTTGATATCATAGGTAAATATAAACATACATTTCAGATAGCGTTAAGATGTTAAATATTATTCTGTCTTACACTGTCTAGTATTGCCTTTAATTTAATTTTCGTATATCTGTTCGCTTACTTTTGGTTATATAGGAACTGATGTACTGGAGATTTTTTTCTTGTAGGAACTTATATGTTATCGTCTACCAACTTTATTTTGTACTGGCAGTTAAAAACAGACGGTTATCAATTTATCATACATGATATTATTGTGTGACATCAACGGTTACTTTGACCAAATTTGGTCGCGATCGTCAATGGAAGTCGGAACAACAACGCGTTGCCAGACACACTTCACTGTAAAATATATATTATTATATACAGAATACGACCAGTTTTTCGCATCCACGTTCTACTTTACTGTTTCCGTCGTAACGCGCGATTTTTCCACTATCTAGAACATGCACGTATATTGTATAAAATGCGCATAAAAAATTGTAACCGCGATGATGACGTTCACGT